ATATTATTAATTTAATTAACTTAATTATATATTTTAATTCTATAAATTATACCTAATATAGGCTATTATTATTACCTAATATAATATTATAAATAAAGGCTTATTATTATCTTAATATATCTTAATCTTATTTTAAGTAATTAGCTAGGTCTTTTAATATCTTTATCTAGCTTATAATATATTTAATAAGAAATATATCTTCCTTAATATTAAAAAGCTATATTTAATAATTAAAAATTATTAAATTAATTTATTATATTAATAGTAATTTATTAATATATAATAGGTATTTTCTTATAATTATATAATATTATAAGAAAAAAAATAAAATAAAAATATATTTAAACTTAAGCCTATTAATATCTATTAGAGGATTAATTATATAATTATTAATTACTAAAATTAAATAATTATAGCTAGGTTAATTATTATTAATAATAATTATATAATAATATATCTTATAATAAAAGTTAAGGTTTTTAGCTTATTTTAATATAGCCTTTTAATATTAAAGCCTTAGTAGTAATTACCTTAATAAGGTAATAATAAAAAGGGTATTTAGCCTTTTAAGAATAAGAAAGATTTCTTTTATATACTTATAAATTAAGGCTATTAATATAATTAGATCTTAAGGTTTAAGGTAATAATTATATAATCTATTAAGATTTAATATTAAGGTTATTATATTTTTTAACATAATATATAATACCTTATATTATATTATATTAAAAATAAATACCTTATTTTATTAGTTTACTTTAATACCTTTAGCTTTATTTTATATATTATTAGATAGGTATTCTAACTTAAAAAAAAAAAAGATAATTATAAGTTTTATTTATATTTAATAATGATATATTTATATTACTTAGATATTTAAATTCTTATATTTAAGTAAATCTCTTATTAATAATATTTATTTTTATATTAATATTAAGTAATACTTATATTTAAATTAAGTTATATTTATAAATAACAATTCTAATAAATAAAGCAGGTATTAATTAAGTTCTTAGCTATTTTATTTAATACTTAAATTCTTTAATACCTTTTTTAATTAAGTTTTTAGCTAATTTTAAGCCTATTTTAAATAGCTATTTTAAAGGCTAATATAAGCTTATAATCTTAATTAAACTTCGTTTTTTAGCTTCTTAATATTACTAGTTATACTTATTTTAATATAATATTAGGCCTAATATCTAGGTTTTTTATATTTTAATAAGTATTATTTCTTATTTTAGGGTTTAATTTAGCCTTTTAGCCCTTATTATAAGGTTTTTAATTTAAATAATAACTACTTTAAGTTTATATTATAAACTAAGAGGTTTAATATTAAGACCTAATATACTTATAATTATTATTTTTAATTATAATATTAAGTCATTTTTTTTATTTATTAAATATATCTTATATATAAGTAGTTATTATAATATATTCTTTTTATATTAAGGGGATTTTAATTTTATTTAAGGTTATAATATCTTTTAATTCTTAGGTTAGCTTAGCCTAATATTAATTAGCTTTTTATATTAAAATAATATCTTAAGTAAAATATTCTTTTTATAAAATATAAATAATTATAAAGTTCATAGAGGGATTATTCTATATATTACTTAGAAAGTTTTAAGTATTTAGCTTAATATAATTTATAATTCTCTAAGTCTTTAATTAAAAATAAAATCTATTTTTTAAGAATTACCTAATTATTTTTAATTTCCTAAGTATAAATAGGTATTGACTTTTAATAATATTATTTTTATTTATTTTATTCTTTTTTTAATATACTATTTAAGGTAAATATAATATATATTATATCTCTT